GGGGGGGGAGGTCAGCCTACAGGGTTTCAGCCTTGGGCAAATTAATCCTTATCTCTCACTTGGCTAACTAGAGAGTCAAAACATTTGCCCACATATTTGCTATGTGTGTGGTTCATTTACTATGTGTCATATGTGATTGGTTCATTTTGTCTGTAGTGCCTAGCTCCCCCCACCCCCCCAATTTAAATCTTGAGATTGTTGCTTGTTATGATGCATGAAGCTTCTATAGAATCAAGTCTTCAGTGTTTTCTCTTCATTTTCCACTTTGGGGCATCGATTTAACACACTCACTCTTGGAGGGGGATGATGGACCCATTTTGTCTCAAGTCACCCTCTATGGTTTCTCATTCAAAGCAGGATCATGTGGCTGAGGATGGGTGTTGATTGGCATCTCAGTTAGTTGACATTTTGTATTGATTATCAGTATGCAATTCATTTCTGCTAGAAGAGCAGCAAAGATTCTTGGGAATGTGGATTCTTGAGTTTATCTTCTTGGGCCCACATTGAGAAGCAATACCATCAGACACTCAAGCACGTTGTGAATTAATTCTGGGCAGAGGCCCTGCACCTCGATATGAATCTCCTCGTTGGATAGTTTTGGGTAAATAACTTAAACTCTCTCAGACCCACTTATGATGGTAAGTATGGCTCTCATGAACAGTTAGAAGGATAGCTAATGAAATATCTGTGACATCTTCAGCTAATACCCATTATTCTCCTTAATCAGGAAGAGGTGAGCTGAACCCCCAACAGGCATCTTTGGAAGGGATTCCTACGTAGGATAGGAAATTGAAGGTGACGCTACACACTTCAGACTCGAACAGTTCTGGGGGTAAAGCCCTTTGATAAAAATGAAGTCAAGAAAATTGATCTTACAGCATTAAATATGCAATTTCAGTGCTAAATGCAAAAATATTTACACACGGTCTATTCATAATGAATATGCAAAGATTTTAGAAAGTGTTATTATCTCCCCAGAAGGCCTAGGTTCAGGCCCCAGACTACACTAGGGACCAGGAGCTTACTAGGGTAATAGGAGTGCTGGTGGTGGGGTAGACATAGGTGTTTGTCTCATCACATTTATTGAGCACCCAGATGGGAGCTCTGAGAAGCCTGCACACAGCCCAAACCCTTGAGTGGGCACACTCTGACAGGGGAAGCAGATGAGGGCACCATGCAGAAGGGTGGATGCTCTAACTGGAGCGTGAGCGTAGCATGCGAATTGTCACTTTCTTTCCTAGGGCCACAGCGCACACTTTAAGCCGTCAGTGTCTGGGGCTCAAGTGAGGATGCTGTCCTGGCTTCTTGTCTTCTCAGTTCTAGGCCTCGGGGCCTCAGGTGAGTTTTTCTTCATAACGTCGAATGTACTGTTGGTGAGCAACAGGTGACTGCCCCCGGGGATGAGTACTGGTGCTCCCCCAGTGCGCCCCCTGGGAGAGGACAGTGGAAGGTGCTCATCTGCAGTGCTCTTCTGGAACTCACACATCTGTGTTCAGATGCTTTGCCTGCCATTTGCCGTGATCCTTAGCACTCTAACAGATTGATTTAAGTCAAACTTGCTTCCATGATATAAAGACAACGCTGTTCACGTCCTAGAGCTGTTTTTCAGGCTTAAATCGGGTAGAGAACGTGAGACATTTTGCACAATGCTTGGATACCAAGGGTTTGGCAAATTCTAACTAGAATTGCGTCATCATCATTAGCATCATATCAATCAGTCAAACTCAACACTTGGGTCCACATTTGTATGGAAGAGGAAATTCACTGACGGTAGGCACATTCTCTCACACATAGTATGAGGCACGTACCACACGCTCGACAAACGACTTCTGTGGAATTGGCTTCCTTTGTATGGACGTGGGCTTTGTGCTTCTTCAAACACTGGGCATCTTGTCAAACGTTCCTCCTTGCAGCTCTCACGCTGACTCTCAGTGCCATCGAGTCGATTCTGACCCCGAGCAGTCCCAGAGGACAGAGTAGTGGGTTTCCTAAACTGTCACTATCTTATAGGAGCAGAAACCCTCATCTTCCCCCACTGAGCAGCTGGGCTCCTACTATGCCTCCCGGGCTCCAGGATGGACAGATATATGCCGCAAAAATTTATGTAATGTATAGAGGCTTTTTTCCTGTCCTCGGTCTCTTAGTTAATTTCATGGGATTACCTAGAGTTGGTGTTGGTGAGAAGGTCAGTGGGTAGTGCAGATACTTTGCCCTTGACTGTCAACCTCAAGCTTGGCTGTTTCAACACACCCAGAAATGCTGTGGAAGGCCTGGAAACCTGCTTTTGTAAAGATGGCAGCCAGGAAAGCCTTATAGAGCAGCTCCATTCTACCCAGTAACACACGGGGTCTCCATGAGTCAGAATTGATTTGACGGCAGTGGGCTTGGTTTGGGTTCTCTGGGTTGATGCTTGAGAAACTCAGATGCCAGGTGTTTTGTTTTGTTTTTTTTTGAAGAACCACTTTATTGATACTGAACGGCGGGGCAGGGCTGCCTGCCCTAGCGGCCCTGTATGTTTTGTTTTTAAGGAATGGGAAATAGGACCTGGCAGGTGGAGTGATTTGTCCAAGATTGGAATGAGTTGCTTTCTTGACCATCACTCTGGTGTCTTGGGTCCTGCCTTGCACCTGTCCTCCGCCCATTTTGCATCTGTTCTGGCCTGTCCTGATACATGTCTGTTCACCCGCAGAGCCCCAGATGGTTTATTTGGAAACCACCCTCTTCCATCTCATCTCTCTCCTTCCCAGTCTTCTCAGGAAACTGATATTTCCCCTTCCCTGAGGACATGGCATGGGGTGGGGACACATCTGAGCTCCACCAGTCACAACGGAGAAGGAAATTCAACTCCACACCTGTCCAAGACTGAGTCCTACAAGGGAGACATCAGATATGCCTCTACCCTTCAGCTTCCTTCACTCTACTCTGCCACCCCCCATCCCTCCCATGGCAATCTACTTCTCTGCTGCCTGCTCCATTTGATACTCCATTACAATGGCCACCCAGAATCATGAATATAAATAAAGATGAGTTAGGGAAGTTACAGCATCAGAAACATGAGGGCTCTATTTCTTTGTCTGCAGCTTCTATTGCGGTGCTTTAAGACCTCTCTCTCTCTCTCTCTCTCTCTCATTTTCAACCTCAGCTGCATGGTCCATTGGCCTCTGTACTGCCCAGGCAAATGTTATAACTCCTTCCGTGTTGATAACTGTCCAAAGGACACCCAGCTCTGTGCACTAGCCTCCTACCCGAAGCCCTCCACTTCACTGGTCCCACAGACTGGGGCGCCTTGGTCTGCTGCTGCTTCTCTGCTGGTTGCCTCTCCCTGCAGGGATCTTGATGCGCTTCACTCTGGGCTGTTCTTCTGGATGGCCGTGGGATTCTCTGTTCCAGCTATTGAAATGGCTCATTTAATATTCAGTGGAATGGCAAAACTGGCCAACCTCTTCATGAGAGCGTCACACACCTAATTTGCATGGTCTCACCCAACCTTTTGGTGGGAAATGCCATGTTAGTATTTCATGGGAAATCAGTATTTGGTGTTAGTGGGAAAGAACCAAATGAAAGAGTTTCACTTCAAAATAACAACCTAGCTCATAACCTACTGCCCGTGCTGAGATAGGCTCCAGTTCTCAGTCCTCTGTCCAGTCTATCTGGTTCATGTCTGCCTCAATGTGGAGGTCATGTATTTGTACTTGGTTATTCCATGAGGAGAACAGTTGGGGCCCTTAGTGATCTTGTCTAATACACAGAGAAATAGGTCAGGTTATGTTAGTGACTTGCCGAACATCATCTGACAAATTTGCTGAGGCCTTAGAGGAGAGTGGTTATGAGTACTGGTTCAAGGGTCATCTGGGTGGGAATCAAGCTCTACTTCTTAAAACCGTTATCATTTTTCTCCCCAATAACTACCTCTCTGAACCTTCATTTTTCTACTGTGGTGCAGTGAATAATTTGATATGGCTCTTTTAGCCATAGTTTTTTTTTAAATTCCCACCAAATTACTTGATCATGACAGGTCGTGGTAAGAGACAGTGGGGGAAGATGCTGACAGGATTATATGATTCAGTTGTGATTGTTGGTTAACAAGGTTAATTGTGACTGTGAAAACGTGGAACTCTAGTGCGGGGATTGGTCAAGTTTGCCATCCTGCTAGGTCCTAATGAGCTCTATTAGAAGCTAGAAGAGAGTATTTTACTACCATCAAGAAGAAAAGTCAGGACAGTAACAGAGGTTAAAATCTGAGCACCCAATTTTAGTTTGTTATTTTTATTGCCCCCTCCCTGACCCCATGCTTTTCTTTGCATGAAATCCAGGAGAGGTAAATCTATGGAGACCGTAGCTGGATGAATAGTTTCTTAGGGCCATGGCAGGGGGTGTTGGAGAGAAATGCTGCACTAATAATAATGAGAATAAGAAACAAAAAAAGTTCTAAAATAAGCTGTAGCAATGAGATTGTATAATTCATTTGAATATGTTTAAATGATTTAACTGTATGATCTGTAAATCATATGTCAATAACATTGTGTTTTATTAATTATGCAAAACCATTTGTCTGTATGAATCATAACAAACTATGAGTAGCATTATAGGATGGAGGGATATTGAATTTATAGTAGTTACTTATCTTTTCATAAGTCAATTTTATTGTGGTGCATTTGTAATAACATTATCATTTATCTTGAGATGATTGGGTTTTCTAAATTTCTGAACTAACTAAATTGACACAGTAACCCTACACAAGAAAAAATATTGTTTATGGCTCATGGCATATCACACCAATGAGGTAGCAAGTCACTAGAACTTTGCAAAGATCACTGGAAGAGGATGGTCACTAGATTAGTATCCCTTGTTAATAGTGTTCTCTTCATCTGTGAATGCTGAAGGCATACCAGGACCTTTTGGGTTGTTTCCTTTGTTGTTTTATAAGAATGCTTCCTGATTTTATGTTTGGTGTATCTCTTCAATTTGATATATACGAAGATTTCAAACAGTTCGTGTGAAAATGGAATTTGCCCACGAGTTTTTTCAATAAAGCAATTTATTGCTATAAAAAAAGAGAAGTGTGGCCATTAAAAAAATGAAAAAAGGCTTGAAGGTAATCAAGCGGCCATCAAGCTC